CATAATTTTTATTATTAAACCTGTTAGTAGCAGCACTTAATGGACAAAGTGTGTATTTTGATTAGACAAAGATGCATACTAATTAAGCAGCTACTTAGTAGTTATTATTATTCTTGAATGCTCACCTTTCCCCCCACATTCAGCTCTTCCCTGAGGAGTGCCTGCGGGTCTGATTCAGCCCAGACACAATTCTGATGAGCAGAGAAGAAAAGCAAAAATAATGATTCCTTTGCATGGAGTCAGTAATCTTCCCAGCTACTGGTGCAGATCTGTTCTGGATATGTGGACTGATGTGCTGTAAAACTCTTCTTTCCTTTATGTTTAACACACACACACACACACACACACACACACACGTGCACTCACACAAAAGTCCGTTTGGTGAGAATGGACTCAGCATAAGTTCTAGCTACAATTTTAGCGATCATTTATTTGGCTGGATTTTCAAATAATTGTCTGGCTCTAGGGAGGAAGCCTATATTATTGATTTTGTGATATTTTACCGGCAGTTTTGAAGTTCATCATGTCTGTCTTAGTTCTTTGTTGTTAGAACGAAATACCTCATTCCAACAACTGTAAGGAGTGGAGGTTTATTTTGACTCACAGTTTATAGAGGTTTCAGTCCATAGTCAGCTGGCTCCAAGGCAGTGTGGCGTGGAAGAGGAGCATTGAAGATGAGAAACAGCTTGTGGCGTGATGGGCAGGAAGCAGAAAGAGATCAAGGGAGGAGGAGGGACACAGACCTTCCAGGCCACGCCCCCTCACCCCCTGCTTCACCAGGCTCCACCCCCAACAACACATTCAGCTGTAAATTCATCAGGGGACTGATTCACTCACGAGTGTCACACACCACGATCCAGTCACCTCCCCAGAACCCCATCTATGAGCACGTGAGGCTTTGGAGAAGGCATCAAGATAGAAATCATAACAATATCCCAGTAGAACTTTGATGTTTTAATTTTGGTTCAAATAGTCAGTGCTTTGAACAACTTGGAATAGGGAAAGGAAAATTTTGGGGAACATTTAATTTACTCATATGCAAAACTAATTTTGAATAATATTCTACTTTGAGCTGCATATGTTTCCAGTGAGTCAGTGTTGTTCTTTCTTGTTAGAAATACAAATATAGATTTAGTTCCAGAAAGTATCCCTGCAATAAAAGCTGCAAGTTGAAAATCTGTGCACAAGCTACTCACTTCTGTACATGAAGATGAGATTTACCCTGTGGGACTTAAAAAAATTATTTTAATATGTTTCTTTTCCCAAAAATAAAGAGACCACAATGTGCAATACAATGTTCAGATATGTTATAAAGGACACCTCATGCCACAGAAGAGAACTACCATGGAACACTGTGGCTTGGATATGCTGGAGGTTCGACAGAGGAGCTGCGTCCTTTATAATAATTCACTTGACCAAGAAGACAAAGAGGTTCCTCCACCCAAAGGTTCAGAAGCAACTTCCTGTTATCAGCAGTTCAACAGAATGCTGAAACTTCTCTGGATCCAAGCAGGAGGAGGAGACCCATAGTACTGCCCCTTCCTGCTCCTTTCCATTGCCGTGCCTTTGCCTGAACAGTTCCAACATGACTGAAACTCCACAGTCTCTTCTGAGACTCAAGGCAAACAGCTTGTGAGCTCCTATTGAGGAAGCTGAAGATGACAAGGAAAAAGAAGAGGAAGAGGAAGAAGAGTTAAATACTTCTGGAATGCAAAGGCACAGGGTAAGCAGTCCCATTCCAAAAGAGAGAAATAGGAGGGTAGAAAGGCATGGAACCAAAGCAAGATGAAAACCCAGTAGGACAAATATCAAGTCCTATAGATGCATGTCCAGCACCCAGGGAAGGTTGTGGTGAGATGTAAGCTCCAAGAAACCTGTGTGGTCCCAGCCCACATGGTGTTGAGTTGACTCTGCTTGCTGCCTGCAGCTTTCCCCAGCAGATCATCCACATTCTTGGCACCTCCAGCTTCCTGGGGTCTCTACTGCACCTGGGAATTCACTCTCACATCTTCACCCACTGCCCTGTCGGGGACACAGCACCTGGCCTCCCAGGCCTTCCTTTGAAATCTGGGTGGAAACCTTTGTATTCTTGTATTCTTTGTGCCTGTGAAACCGATACAACATGGACGATGCCAAGAACTGCTGCTAGCTCAGGCATTAGCCAGGTGCCTTGGACTATAGCTGCTGTGACCCCTGGATGCCTGCTCGGGTGAGCATAGTGAAGTTAATCCTGGGTATTTAATTCCTTAGGTGGCCCGTCTCAAGCAGACATGCCAGGAAATCTCTTCTTAAATGAAAACTTTATAGTTTTCCACCCAGAAGCTGGCAAAAGATAGGATTTGGCCAATCCTAGAAATACTTTTAGCTGTCTTTCCTAATATTCTGATACTAAGTATTTCTTTTTAATGATAAGCTTTTTAGTAGCCACACTGCCCAAGCTGACCTCAGCTGAAGCTTTACAGGGGCTTCCTTTCTTAAAGAAAGGTAACTTTTTTATATACCTTTTGAATTTACCTTTCACTTCTTGTTTGTTTTGTTCATTTGTTTGTTTGTTTGTTTTTGGACAGGGTCTCATTATGTAGCTGAAACTGACCCAGAACTCACTAGGTAGCCCAGGCTGGTCTCAAACTCACAGCAATCCTCCTGCCTCAGCTTCCCAAGTGCTGGGATTACTGGTGTGTGCCACCACACCTGGTGACCTTTCACGCCTGATTTTCACTGTACACGTGGCTAAAAGCAAGCAGCAGTATGCATACCACAACCTGGATGTTGAGGTGTCTTAAAATTTCTTCCACCAGATTAGTCTTCTGCCCTTAATTTCAGTCTCCTGCAAAGTCTCAGGACATGTGAAAAATAAAGACAGCATGACACACGCAGCCTCTAATCCAATTGCAAATGGATTCCTCGTTCCTAGCTGAAGCCTCTTGAGCCTGTCCTTTACTGTATGCATTCCTGTCAGCATTCTGGTTTTCCTGAGCTCTGACCAAAATCACTCATCAACTTCTGCGTATAGCAGTCTAGGACTTTTCTAGTCCACTTCTCCAGACTTTTCCAAATTTCTCCCGAAACATAAAGGAAGCAAGGTGTATGTAGCATTAGTTAATGTTTCAGGAGATTCAGCCCACAGTAGTTCGACTCCAAGGCAGAAATGACACGGTAGAAGGTCATGGCAGAGGGAAGCTGCTCGCCTCGTGACGGCTGGGAAGTACAGTGAAGGGAGCAGCCGTGGACAAGAACAATCCTTCCAGATCACACCCCCAAGGGTTCGCCTCTTCCTCGCAACGCCACCCACTGACAGCACATTCCGATGTGAGCTCATCAAGGAGTCAATCCCTGTGATCCAGTCACTTTCCAAACACGTGGGACTTTGGGGGCACATTTTAAATCTCAAGCATAACACATCAAGAGATGAAGCTAATTGGGAAGAGCTGGCCTATTGGTATCCCTTAGTTTTGATTGAATAATACAAGGGAATGAGTATCTTAGACGGAGGAGTTATCAGAAAGATGATGTCTGAGTACTGGATGCCATCACTCAGGGTACCTAGGCTGACAGTCTTCTCGTGCTCTGTGTGCCCCGTTTCTGAAGATGTGTGAGCTCTTTGCTCCTCTGCACAGAATTCTAGCCACAGATCGAAGGACGGAAGTTTCTGATTAAGCCGGCCCGGCCTCAGGGCAGACCCCTCTCTGTTCTGACTCATGCCGAGTGCTCAGATGGGTTTGCTTGTCTCTGAGACTTCTTCATACTGTGGCCTTCCATCCTCCCATACAGTAAGTCTGCAGCCCAGGGCCCTTTCCATTCTTACTCACGGGATTCTGTTCATTAGCAGCCTCACCACACCCTGCTGCAGGCCCGGGGTACCTGGTGAAGAGGGACGTCTTCTGAGAGAAAATTCTGGAAGCCTTTCATTCTACTCTCACATTCTATGCAAAGCTTTGGCACTTTCTTCATAGTAATACAGGAGGAGATTTCATATTCAATCCAATCCTGGATATTGTTCCCTTAGCGGAGGAGCTCCAGTTTCCTTTGGGAACGTTTCCAGTTGTCTCTGTCTCTTCAGGCCATTCATCCTTAGTTACGTGTAGCAAGTTACTGAACTCTGCCTATGCCCACCTGATGTTGGACCTCACGTGGAGTGACAGAGCTCAGAGGCATTTGGAGGCTTCAGGGGGTCTGTGGGACTGAGGGAGCCCTGGGAAATGGCTGTGGGTAGAGAAGAGGCCTGTAGGATCAGCCCCAAATGCTGCGGAGAGGGAGGATGTGGGGTGGAAGAGGACTTGGGAAGGACAGAGAAGGAGCAGTGACCAGCGAGAGCGGGAAGGCCTGTTCCAGGTGTTGCTGGGAAGGAGGAGTGGTCCTGCAAAACGAATACCGAGACCTGGGTCTCCCAGTCAGACATACACACCTCCCTAGTAACTTCTGGCAAATCTACTTCGGTGGCGTTGGAGGCACAAAAGATTCATTAGGGCAGTTTCAGGAGAAAACAGAGGAGAACTTGCGTAGAAACTGCTGTTGTGATGTCTTGAGGGAAACGGAAACTAGGGAGGAGCTTCAAAGGGAAATCACCCGATGAATACCTTGTTTCTGTGATAAAATTACCGCAGGTCAGATTCCGGGAGTTTCCCCAGGCACGGCCCATGGACAACTAGAGTGGGGTGCAGGGCCACCTCCTCTCATCCCTGGGCCCCGTGGCAAACCTGACTTTCACCTTTGCAGACAAGAGCCCAAAAGTGTTTTCCTTTTGGAAATATATTTTAAATGATTGAGTATATTTGAGATGCTGAAATAATGCTGTTTGTTGTTTTTAATATCCTCACTTTAAGCTGGACAGACAGAGCGACATCAAAAGGCTCTCACTTCTCACCCAGCACCCGGGCCCTGTCCTAACGGACTAATGGGCCCATGCTCCTGGTCAGCCTCTGCCGGGCTGTCGCTGTGTCTTTGTGGGCCAGTCTGCGCCTTGCCTTATGCTCTGTATTGTTTTCTTCTCCCCCACACAGCTCTGTGTCAACATGACCAACGAGATGGTGCACCAGTATATCAATGAAGTACTTTTCCTACAAGAGCAGACAGAGTGTGTACAAGAGGGGGTTACCATGGAAATGGCATATTCTCCTGGTAACCAGGCTGCAGTTTTGGATTTCTTTTTCCAGGTATTCATATAATATAATTAGACACTTAACAGGATACATGCATTCAAAATGTACTGGAGACTAAGAATTTTCTTTCTGAAGGCTTTGATATTGAGAAGCTTTATTCTCTGCAGTGAATTTATAACATTCAAAATCTATTGAAGGGCACAAGTTATCTTTTTCTAAAGGGGCATTTGAAAGATCACCAATTCATTGAAAGGACAAGAAACATAAGAACACTTAGATGTAAAAAATATTCAACATTGTTCATTTGCTATGACTAATCCTCATTTTTAGCAGTTCCAGGTGACCACTGTGCAAACTTTATATCTTACAAGATAATTTTAAGATGAGTGATAATATGAAACAAATTCAATATAATGTTTTTTGTCTTCAGTTTCTAAAATCTAAACTTTGGAAACTTGACAAGCAAAGTACATCCATATATAATATCTGGTTAAATTTAAGAGGCTTGGGGCATCAGCAGGAGTTGATACTTATCTTTATTGTACTACTTACAGCGAAAAAGTTTTGATATGGGAATCACTACCTACAAATACAAATCTTGCATACAAACAGCTCTCTCTCTCTTCACCCTTTCTCTCTCTCTCTCTCTCTCCCTCCCTCCCTTCCTCCCTCCCTCTGTGTGTGTGTTTGTGTGTGTGTGTGTGTCTAATGGGACCGAACCCAGGACCTTCTCACTAAGCTACTTCCCCAGCCCTGTTCTGTTTTGGTGGTTGTTTTTTGGATTTAGTTTTTGAAGTGGGATTTTGCTGAATTGCCCAGGCTGGGCTTGAGCCTGCAATTCTCCAGCCTCGGCCTCAAAGCGCTAGGATTACATGTTGGGTGGGAACACAACAATGACCACAATGAGAAGCATATTAAAAGTAGATAGAGACTGAGTCTGTTTCTGAGTCTCTGTATAAATGCAATAAAAAGACAACAAGCACGCCTGCACAGTATCAGAAGCACCAGCCTACGTGACAGGAAAACTCTCTCCTTCCCTCAGAAGCCATCCGGATTTCTCTCTTTGTTGGACGAAGAAAGTCAAGCGATCTTGTCGGTAGCGGAACCGAACCTTCCCAAGAAGCTCCAGAGCCTGCTGGAGTCCTCGCACACGAACACGGTGTACCCGGTCCTGACAGACGGCAACGGGAACCTGGCGCTGCGGGGCGCGGGCGCGGCCTTCACTGTGCTGCACTACGCTGGCCGGGTGAGTGAGGGCGGCCCGGCGCCGTGTCTGATCCTGACGCTGCATTTCATGTCGGGAGTCGCTTGCAGTGAGGGGAGGCTCTAGGCCCAGTCCCCGCGCGCTGTAGCGTGTGTGTGACCCTGTGTGGCTTTCCGTGGCTCATTTCACAACTCCGGTGCGTGGAGCGCTGCTGTGAGTCTCAGGTCTTTACAGGGTGCAGCAACCTTCCGGGCTCTGTGTTTGCCCAGCTGCGTGCAGGGAGCCCTGGGTCCTCTTCTCAGAGCCTGGACGGGATAGGCTCCTGGGCAGGTTGGAGAATCTGCTCCTTCCTGCAGTGGTCCAGATGCCCTCCTGGCCTGCAGAGGACTCAGTCCCCTCCTGCTGGGGTCTTTCATCCCACCTCCCCCTGAAGCTCCTCCTGCCACTCAGCCTGGAAGTCTTCCTAGGAGACCAAATGGCATTCATCGTTTTGTGAGTGTTCTTTTCTTAGTACTGGAGCTTGAACCCAGAGCCTTTCCCCTGAGCTACACTCCAGCCCTTTTAAAGCTGCGTTACTTTGAAATAGGGCCTCACTAAGTCACAACATATTGGGTCTGTGCTTTTCTTGAACTTCAGTCCTCCTGCCTCAGCCTTCCAGAGAGCTGGGATTGCCTGGCTTTTATCCACCTCTGAACACTCAAGTCTCTGCCATCTGTCTGCAGTCCCACTGGGCCTGGCGTTAGTGATGCCGCCTTTGCTTTTGCCCCTGTGAATTAGGTCCTGGAAGACAGAAGTCCCTGCTCCTTGCCCACCCATACCCAGCCTCAGTTCTCCTCCACCAGGGGCAACAGGGACCCTGTGAACCCCAAAGGAGGTGCATCAGCAGCTGAGAGATTGCACGGAGCCTGCCTGCCCTGTGCCCTGGGGTATCTGATGGTCACAGGAGGGCAGGGCAGACCAGCAAGCAGCAGTGCACGGAGTGTTGGTATAATGATATTCCAAAGTTTATGTTCACATAGAGAAGGAAGCAATTATTTGGCTCAAAAAAAACCAAAACAGCAAAGCATAGACCTTTTCCAGAAGAGGTGCGGTATGATCTGTGTCCCCTGAGGCACTGCTGACAGGAGAATGGGCTTTGGGGACCCAGGAGCTGAGTGTGCCCTCCTGTTGTGAAGCCCTTTCCCTGCCTCTCAGGCCTGGCCACGCCTGACCTCAGCAGCTCTGACCTCAGCTCCCAGCTGCAGGGGCAGTGGAAAGGCTCCTTGCTGGCCCTCCGACCTCTGCTGTGCAGCTATGCCAGGCCACACGGACCGGGGAGGGTGCAAACAGAGCAGGAGGTGGAATCTCTGGAAAGGCTGCTTTGGGCCAAACCATGAGGAAGGCTTCATCTACAGCTGAGAACTCAGTCCTCTTACTCATAAAATGCTTTAGACTCAGTGGGACAGGCTGACAGTACTCCGGGGTGGGTGACTTTAGAAGCATGTTGGAAATGTGTATCTTGATGGTTTTACCCAGGAAGAGTACAGAGAAGGGGGAGAGAAAGTTTACTGAAAGGAGAAGTAGGAAACCCCGAAAGAAGAGCGTCACATTGCCCACGGGAGATGTAGCAGCCTGGCTCCGGATGGGCCCCATGAGTGGGGACAGTAGGTACAGAGGTTCTCCAGAGATGCCTGGGCAGCTGCCGGACTGCAGAAAGAAGTTGGCAGAAGGGATTCTAACCTCGTCCCTGGACGTTTACCATCTCCCTCTTCTATTCGAGATTGAGCCTCTGAAATTCTTCATAAAATCAGGAATCTTTCAGTCAGGGTTCTTTATTTATACCTTCTTCATAAAACACATGTATTGCACTTATAACAATTGCATAAACCTTTCCAGTAAGGCCTCGTGACTTTGGGAAATTATTTTCCTTGAAGATTTTAGGGGAGCTGTGATAGGAAATATATATTTAACCCACCCTGTATACCTGTAGTGTGTATCAAAGACAAGCTAGATATTAAATAAAAGCTAACTGTGTGTTCATGGGTGAAAATGCATTTAGAATCCTAGTTTTCTAATTTACATTCCATTTTTAAAAATATTCTGAGCACTTCATAAAATTTCAACTTTAGCTCTCATTGTTTTTAGAAAATGTGGGTTGAAAACAACTAATAGTTTAAATTAACAGAATTACTGCACTGGTTTCTGTTAGAAATTAGCTCATAGAGGAACAACTGAGTGATTAGTTGGTGCTGCTCCAAAGTCTCTGTGGATTTGAGTTTTCCCATAAAAGCACCTTTATTTTTAAACAAGTTTTCCATAATCAGAGTCAGTCTTGTGGTTTTATAAAATCTTTCATTTCGGTGCGATGTATTAATGCATCTTGGCCAAAGGGCCCCCTAAGGACAAATTCCTATGTTAGAGTGGGGATTATGTGTAATTTGTGGCAACATGTAACCCACACGCCTTTTAAATCATCCATGTAGCTCTACACACACTTAAATTTTGAACTATGGCACTAAAAAAAAAAAAGCAATATATTCTTCATTTTATAAGTCAAGAAAGGTAGAAAAAGTTGAATGTCAACATGCAGTGTCTGTTTTGGACCACGGGAGGAAGAGTTCAGAGCAATCTTTGACCGTGAGGTTGAGCCCTGTGCTCTGGACTTCCTGTGCTATCTCTCTGGCCGGATGGAAGGGCCCGAACCTGTCCCTCACCGCCACGGCTCCTCCTGCTCCGTTTGCCAGGTCTCTATTTCACGTCTCCTAGGAAGGGCAGTGGTTGGGTTGCTGCTGTCCAGGCCCCACCTAGGGGACTCACCTGCCCCACAATCTACCTGGGAGCCTGGGCCCTGCCTCCATAGCATGTGGCTGCTGAGGCTCACAGGTCCCTTTCGGAATGTTTAAGCAGCATGATTTGAATTAGAGCTGAAGATCTTCTCTAAACACATTTGAATTTTTCATTACTCATAGGAGCCTGGTATATTTTCCAATCTCCATTACGGAAATATTTTAAAGTAAATGGTAAGAGGCTTGCATGGCATGAAATATTAATAAGGTCTCATTAATGAGCACAGACTTGAATTAAAGAAGGCTTGTGGGGTTTGTGGGGTTTTTTTGGTTGTTGTTGATTATTTGTGTTAGCAAATTTTAAATCATATACGGGACTGCCATTTTAGGGATTGCCCTTAAACTGCTGATTTAAATTACAGATAAGCGTTTAACCCAGAATTGTATCTGACTCTGTTGACTGTTAACAGTCAGAACCTTGAAGTGAAGGAGAATTATAGCTTCACTTCGGCTCTTGGGAGACTTGAGTTTCCATTAAAGCAATTCTCAACCATCTGCAGTAGGAAATAGTATTTCAAAGTTCTTAAATTTTGATGGGAGAAAAGTGAATGGATTAGGAGAAAGCAAACTGGTCTGAAGTAATAGCGACTGAATTAGTGAAAGTGTAAATGAAAGTTAATAGTTGTGCAATATGTGTGGCACATGCACCTCCATCCCTGGATTGCTTTCTAGTCACACAACTTCCTTGAAAGCTAGCGTAACTTACTTTACGACACAACACTTCCGTGTGGGTCTCATACAGCTGCTCCCCTGCAGCTGCGGGTGGTCCCCATGTATCACATCAGCACCTCTCTCCTACCCTCGGAGGCTGGGTCAGTGTTTCCGCTCTGCGTCCCCACAAATATGTTAAGTGTTGTTCAGGGCTGAATGGTGGCCTCCAAAAGATGGGTCCTGGTCCTCCTCTGTGGAAGCTGGGTGCCTGAAATTGTTTGCAAAACAGGGGTCTGTGTATAGAGAGCTCATGAGCTGAGGGTTTGACAGTGGGGTGATCATCCTGGGTTGTGTGGGGAGGCTCTAAGCCCGATGGGAGATACCCATAGGGCAGTGTGAGGAGGCATCGTGATGCTGCAGGCAGAGTGGAGCGCACTGTGCCGCAGCCTGGGGACGTGTGGAGCCACCCGGAGCTGGACAGGTGGGTGAGGAGGGGCTGCACTGGAGCCTGCAGGACCAGGGAGAGCACCTTTCTCCTGCTGTGTGACACCAGTTTGTGGTCACCTGTTGTGACAGCGTCAGGAAACCAGGACAGCACTTGGTGCTGTGTCCCACTCTGCAGACCAGGAGGATGGAGTAGTCAGCATTGTACTGTCTTCACAGAGCACGACCCAGTTCCAGGGAACCTGGCCTTCTGCACCCCCACTCTGACCTGTGCACCCCCCACCCACCACATCTCCTCCCTCTCCCCCACGGTCAAGTTCCTGGCCAAATGCAGATGTTCTTGATCCCCGCCCATCACTAGTGGGTAGGACGCTCCTGTGGCGTTTTGTGACTGCCACAGTGCTTCTGAAACCTCCTCACCTCTCCTTTGGCTCCACCAACACTGCCACTTCGGTGAGGTCCTGAGACCCTGCGGGCTGTTCAGCCCCTCCAGTATCTCTGCACGTCCTCTTCTCTTCTTTATTTTTAATGTAAAACATTTTTATTTTATTCTAATGTAAGTAGATATTAATAAAGAAAGTATAAAAGCCATTCTATTAAAAATAATTTTTCATAACAAAAATGACAGGAGAATAACAGTGGCAAATACACTGTGTATCATGACCTAAAAGGAATATGTTTTCATTCACTAAACCCTCAGCTCATTTCCTAATAATACTCTTTTTTATTGCCTAAAACAGTTTAAGTATTCTCAGAGTATCTTACATTCTTGCCATTTCACTATATTTATTATTCTTTTTGGTCTTTATTTTCACTTTGAGTTTCTCACACAGAGAGACAATGTGGTATTTATGTGCATGTATTTGATTTATTTCACTTAAAATTTAAGTATGGTCTCAAGGTGCATCCATTTATCTAAAAATGTCTCAAGTTTATTCTTCTTTGTGGCTGACTAGTACTCCATTATGTATATAAAAATATCACGTTTTCTATCTCTTCATCAGTTGATGGGCATTTGGGCTGTTTCCAAGTTTTAGCTATTATAAACTGTGCCACTATAAACATGGGTGCGCATATATTCCTGTGGCATGATGCTTTTAATTATTTTGGGAAGATGCCCAG